ACTTTTATCATAATCTTGGCTTAATCAGAAAGTCAGGTAGGATTACTATTGGTGGTCATGTTAATCTTGGAGGAATATTACCCAAGGTAGCTTTGTTGTCCAGAAGAGTCATCGTCATATTTGCATAGTCAAGCCTTAAATTGGAAAGGAAGGTAAAAATTAGTTTCAGAATGATTCAGATCCAAATTGTGCAAGATGTGAGGGGTAGGTGGAGAGCACCAGAGAATACAGTGATAGAAAAGTGGAGTGGAGAGGTTTCATATACTGAAAATACTTACAGTAGTCTATTTTTTTTTTTTGCTTTTTTGGTCACACCCAGCGATGCACAGGGGTTACTCCTGGCTCTGCACTCAGGAGTTTCTCCTGGTGGTGCTCAGGGGAATATATGGGATGCTGGGAATCGAACCCAGGTTGGTCGTGTGCAAGGCGAACACCCTACCCATTTTGCTATCTCTCCAGCCCCATTAGTCTATCATTTTTAATGTACATATTCACCATCATAATCAACATGAAAAAGAGACTCTTATTGTTTGGTTCCCTAGCACCTTCAAAAGTCCTGACTCCATGTATGGTAAGGACTTAATAAAGATTAATTGAATGAGTCATGAGGTAGATGACTTTAATTAAAAAAAGATCTTTGGATGCCAGTGCCTTCATCAAACTGCTTGTGAAGGAGTTTTGAAAACAGAGTGTAAAGGTTGATGGGGAAAAAAATAGCCAGAGAAAGAAAGTAGAGCCCAACTCATAGACAGGTGATTGGCAGCTCCCGGACTCCACGTAGAATTCTTTAGGCATTCTTTTTGGGGATGGCGTATGTAGCTCCGAGGGGAGGCAGCAATCAGCCACTCCTTCTCCAGTCAGGAATGAACAAAGGGATGCAGAAGCTACGGTGGCAACCTACAGAAATCAGGTTTTTGTTTTGTTTTGTGTCAAGGATCAAATCAAGGAATTCACACTTGCATGGCAAATGCTCTTCTGCTGAGCTACAGATACAGCTCCTTTCACAGCAGGTGAAAGGAGAATGCAGAGAGAGAATGTCAGGATTCATGATTAGGCGATCCTGTGAATAGCGGCCCCTACCCAAGCTGGACTTCACTCAAGAGAGAAGCGCCAGTGCGTCCTGTCATGTGGACTTAACACGCCCCCTGGTGGACTCAGGCGGTGACTTCAAGACTTGCCCACACTCGAATGATTCCTGCTTTGCAGCACCAGAAGCCAAAATGTTATGCTTTCCAACACTTTACCCTAAAATCTAGCGCCTTTCACAATCTAGAGGAAGCAGAAAAATCACATTTCAGAAATCTGTGGGACACATTACTTTCACCATTTGCTAATGCTTCCAGTAGACTAAAAATAGCTTAAGTGTTAAATCAAACCAGAGGGAAAAATTTAAAAACTGAACTATTGGAAGCAAGTAATTTAGGGCAGAAAATATTTCATCTCTAAATGTTATTTTTACTTACTAGTCAATACTAATAATAACAACAATAATGATCACTTATTACTTATCTCTTCTTGGCTATATGATACAAACAACTACAAAACTTCCGACTCATAAATAAGGCACTGAGTCTCAAATGAGTTATGCAAAGTGCATAAAATCACACAGTTTTTAATCTGACAAACTATCATTGCCAAGATTCCTGTTAAGGTCTGTAAGTCTGCATGTTTTCCTCCTGAACTTTCTGTTTGCAGAAGAGATAAACAAGCTCATTCAAGGACTTCCTCCCATACAGGTTTAATGGTTATTTTTGTGAATATTTCCATGAGCCAGAGAGGTAGCTCAAAGAGCTGAGTATATACTTTGCATATAGGGAACTGGCATTATGTGGTACTCCAAGCTCCACCAGGAGGCTCCCCAAGCACTGAGTTGGAAGTAGTAGCCCCTAAGCACTGCCAGGTGTGGTCCCCAAACAACAACAAAAAATGTTCCTAGTTTTACATTTAATTTTACTTTATTTAAAATTTTTTATTATGGATCCAGTAATATGGTTACAACAGTGGTTTTTTTGTTTTGTTTTGTTTTATTTTGGGGTGACACCTGGTGATGCTCAGGGGTTACTCCTGGCTCTCCACTCAGGAATGTGTTAATATAACACATCTTGATTGGTTGTTGGGCATCTGGGTTGTTTCCATATCTTAACTACTGCAGATAAAACTGAAGCAAATATCTTTTGGGATGAATGTTTCTATGTTCTTGGGAAAGATACCCAAGGCGGAAATGTTGGATAATATGGCATATCAATTTCCTGGCAGCTCTCTGGAGATCATATGGGATACTAGGGATAGAATCCAGGTCAGCCGCGTGTAAAGCAAGTGCCTTACCAACTGTACTACCATTCTGGCCCAATACTGTCGAAATTTATGGTTTTTGTACAAAATTGCTGTAACTTCACCACCACCTGAATAACCAAAGCAATACTGAGAAAAAATAAGATCAAAGATACTGCAGTTGTGGCTGGAGCGATAGTACAGCTGGTAGGACGTTTGCCTTGCATGCAGCCAATCTGTGTTCGATTCCCAGAATCCCATATGGTCCCCCAAGCACTGCCAGGAATAATCCCTGAGTGCAAAACCAGGAGTAACCTTCCACCTGCTCCCCCCGGTGGCATGGTGGCCGCCATCTTTCTGAGCCTATTGGACAGCCAGGCATGAGCCAGCAGTGACAAGACAATTGGGGCCTCATGGAACTGGGGGTGGAACTGGCCCTTCTCCCCGACGAGCCCCCGAGTCGCTGCCCATGAACTGCTCCTCTGGCTACTTATTGAGCTCCTTAACGGCCATGATCCCAGAGGCACACAAACCAATCTCAGAACTCAGCGGCATTTAGCAGAAATCCCTCCAGACTCAATTACTAAAATACTAGAATTCCAAAATTGTGCAGTCACAATAGCGGCCATGCAACACCATATGCTCTTCATAATCAGCAATAGAAAACAAATTATCTAATGATGACTTTTCAGCAGGTCTGATTGTTGGGGGGAAATTCCAAATAATAATGTTGGGTCTTTTGGTGAAATATTGAATGTGATCAAAGTAGAGAGAGAGTAAAGTGGAAATCATTTGCCACACAGGTGGGGGTGGGTGGGATGGAGGGTATACTGGGGTTCATGGTGATGGAAAATGTGCACTGGTGAAGGAACGGGTGTTTGATCATTATATGACTGAGACTTAAACCTGAAAGTTTTGTAACTGTTCTCATGGTGATTCATTAAAAAAACTAAACAGGAGTAATCCCTGTGCATCACTGGGTGTTGCCCAAAAAAGAAAAAAAAAAACACTGCAGTCCCTGGAATTAAAATACTTATCAAACACTAGTAATCACAACTTTGTGGTACTAGAATAACAGTAGCCTCTTGAATCAATAGAATAAAATTGAGAGTCTAGAAACAATCCCTCAAATATATGGACAGGCGTTGACAAATATATGATACAGGCATTGGTTGCATAAAGAGGAGAAAGGAAAGCCTCTTTAACACTTTGTACTGAATAGGCACATGGAAAAAAATAAAAATGAGCCCAAATCTCACACCATACACTAAAGTTTATTTTGTTTTTATTTTACTGCAGAAGTTTCTGTTTTAGGTGTACACTGTTACCATGTTATGCTTACAGAGTCAAACTCCATTAGATTTTTATTATTAGATTTATTCCATTAGAATCCCTCCAACTTTTCAGCTCACTCCTCCAATCTCTGGCTTGGTTAACCTCAATTGTTTATTCAGGGTTTTCTTTCATTAGATTTGTCTATTTCTTTGACTTTTAAAACAATAAATAAATCTATCACACATGAGATCATCGAGTACTTGTCTTAACTCTCATTTTGCTTAGCTTCCATTCCATCCATGTTACAGCAAAAGAAAAAGAAATCACATCTCTTTCCAATTGCTGAGTATTACTCCCATGTGTGAATATAACATATCTTGATTAGTTTCTGGGCATCTGGGTTGTTTCCACACCTTAACTACTGCAGATAAAACTGCGACAAATATATTTTTGGATGAATGTTTCTGTGTTCTTTGGAAAGATACCCAAGGTGGAAATGTTGGATAATATCACATTATCAATTTTTAATTTTTTTAAGAAACCTCCATAATGTTCAGCAGAAGCTGGACCACGTTCTTCAAGTGCCTACTAGTCATCTGTCTTCCTTGATAAACTGTCTATTCAGATACTCTCCACAATTTTGAAGGCGTTGTTTGCTTACTGCTAAGGTTTGGAGGTTCTTTGTTTGTATATACTAAGGTTTGTAGTATATACTTTATATACCAGCCCTTTGTCAGATGTATGATGTGCAAATATTTTCTCCCATACAGTAGAATACTTTTTGTATTAATATCTTTGACTTCAAGAATTTTTTCAGTCTGATGTAATCCCATGTATTTATTTTTGCCTGCCCCCCCTTACTAAAGTAAAAGTAAAGGCCCTCCCGTTGATCATCGATTTGCTCGAGCGGGCCCAGTAACGTCTCCATTGGAGACTTTGTTGTTACTGTGTTTGGCATATCGAATACGTCACGGGGAGCTTGCCAGGCTCTGCCGTGCGGGCGAGATACTCTCGGTAGCTTGCCGGGCTCTCCGAGAGGGGCGGAGGAATCGAACTCGGGTCGGCCATGTTGGCTGCGTGCAAGGCAAACACCCTACCGCTGTGCTATTGCTCCAGCCCCCCTTACTACTGGATTCAAATCTACAAAAACACTGCTGACACTGACAGCATATATTTCATTTATTTTGTTTTCTTCAATGTTTCCTATAGTTTTTTCCAAAGTTTTAATTAGCATTGCATATGAAGAATTATAGAGAAACTATCATAGGAGAATGTGGTAAAAATTATTTTACTACACAGGTTTGACTTAGAATCATTGCTTGATAATAAAAGAATCTAGCTCCAGATTTATCATTCTCAAAAGAAATTATAATGAAGTATTAAAATATTGCCCTGATGGCTGGAAGAAATAGAACAGGGGTGAAGGGTTGGGAGAACAAACAACACTCTTTATGTAATATTCACAGTTTATTGACCAGAATAAAATATTGGCAGTCTAGATGGTCACTTTTATTTACAGAGAGAAGATAAGGAGTATAAAAACTTACACCTGATAAAATTAAAAGTATTTGCCATCAGATAACTCATAGTCAGGCTTCTGTTGGAATGAAATTTTCTTCCTAGTGAACAGCCGTCTATAGTGAGAATTCCAGTTAACATTTTTATTTAAAAATTAAAATAAAATAATCAACACAGTCAAGCTGTTTTAGTCTTCAGAATTTCTGGATTTCGTCCCTGGAGGAGGTCAGGATCTTCCCAAGGTCTGGGTCCTCGTATATTCTTCCAGTCTTCAAAAGTGGAGTCCTTTATTTTCTACAGAGCCACAAAAATTAAAGCGCGCGTGTGTGTGTGTGTGTGTGTGTGTGTGTGTGTTAGTGTAGGAGCCCTGTGGTTTTGATTAGGATTCCACTGAATGCAAGAATAAATGGAAAGAATCCAATAGGACCTTCATTATAATTTTATTGGACTGACTGTATGATAATAATAAAGAAATGATATATTTAATAGGATTTTACTTGCTTGTTATTTATATAAATACCTATTTTTTTCTCTCCAAAAACACTAAAAATATAAAAATATAGAGTGTCTACATTATTTCTGAACACACAAAGAAAAGAAGTGGGGCAAAGAGATAGTAGGGAGAGTAAGGAGCTTTCCTTGCATGTGACCAACCCTGGTTGGATCTCCAGCACCACATATCATCCCCTGAGTGATTCCTGAGTGTCAAGCCAGGAGTAGTCTCTGAGAACTGTCAGTTATGGCTCAAATTCCACCCATCCCCCCAAAAAGAAAAAAAATAGAAAAGAAGAAAGCTGGGAAAAAACAAAAGTACAACCATGATGGCTGCTCAGCATAATAATGACCAGCATAAATGTGTATGAGGAATAACAGTAAATAAGAGAAAAATAATAACAAGGTTTATTTTGGATAGAGAACAAAGATGATGTATCTACACCTGAAAATGAGCGTGGGTTTTAGGATGAGAAGACATTCTCAGAGCTGCCGTTAGTAAAGATTTCCAACATAAAAAGCCAGTTTCAATTGTAGTTTGGATCACTGTACTATGAGTGTGAAAAGCCTTGAGATTAGGAATGAAGGTAGACTGAAAATAAATATAAATGTTTCTTCACCCATATATGACAGCTATATGACAGTAACTTCCACATAGCTGCTTTGATTGTTCTTGGATATTTACTGAATAGGATAGAAAAGCTGAGAGAACATAGGACAGCTTATATTCAAAGATAAGAAAAATCAAATAAATGTACCTTGATATTTGGAAACTAAGCATTACTCTTTCGCTAACAAACTGTACATACTTGAGCAAATAATTAAGCAAACTAGACATTAATTGCCTCATAAGAAATAACAAAAAATGCTGGACCAAAAGATATTCAGTTCTCAAATGCAATGATTCTAAAAGAATAAAAATTAAAATCTACTCCTGACAAAACTTCCAGAGTATCACTACCAGCAAAGTACGCAATATGAGAAATAGCCAATTACTGAGATTGACAAAATAATGAAGAAGTAGCAGATAAAACAATTCTCCACATTTCATTAAGTTTAACCATAAATCGATCTTAGATACACATGGACAAACAAAATTCTAATAATTTATTGTACAAGAAAAGAGTAAATTATTTTCAAGTGTAGTCATGAAATGATTCAGTTATAAAAAGATTTTCAGAAAAAAATTTAAGACCTTCACCCAAATGCAATAAAACTTATGATCCAGTGAATTTCGGAATAATCTTTAGGTTACCAGAAAGATAGCTCAAAGGATGAGAGTGTGTGTCTTTGATGGTATGAGGGAGGTCCGACTTTGATTCCTGACACTGTATGGTCCCCCCAAGAACCACCATGAGAGACTTCTAAGCAATATGCAGTAGTAGCACCTGAACACCACCAGAAATGGCACAAAATAAAATCACACACATAAAAATATAAATAAAAAGACTAATTCTTAGGCCAGAAATATGGTTCAAAGAAGGCTGGGGAGAGGCCCAAAAACTGGAAATGTGCTTAATTCCTGGTCTATAAAGCCCCAGAGTGCCACCAAGTGCCACCCTGGTGGTCTTGAGCACCCACAGTACTGAAATTCTAGCACTCAACTATCAGACCTTCAGAGCAGAGTCTTAAATTCCTATGAGTGGTTCTGGGACCAACAAAGCACCATTACGTGGTCCCTATTTGATTTAATTTTTTGGATTTTGGACCATACCCAGTGGTGCTCAGGACTTTCCCCTGACCCTGCACTCAGGAATCACTGCATTTGTAATAACTGACATTCACCTTAAGATGCACAGAAGTAGTCACTGACTAAGAAAACTGATGTGAGACTATAAATTAACATACCTCATACTCTGATTCCAAAGATACGTTAGACATTTTCAATTTTTTTTCTAATTCAGGATCAACCTATAGAAAAAAAAAGGGAGAAACTCTAAGTTATTTAAGTATGTTTAGTTCGATTTTCATTTTACTTTGTTGCTATTATTATTTTGGTGTTGATGGGAATCAAACTATGGATTCTCACACTTGTAAAAGAAGGGCAGAAAATGTCTCACTCTTCAATTTTTAATAAAATAAGGGGTGGCTCAGATAGTATAACAAATTATAAACACATTACAAAATTTCTACCATCCATTCCCATAATGTTAACTAGTGCTCTATTACCACCACTACTACAATAGCACTGATATTTACTGAGCATTGTTACGTGTTTTATATAGGCTATCTCTTTTATCACAAATACCCATGAGCTTTATTATCATCAGAAAGTATTATGGAACATAGGGGTTTTAAATAACCTGTTAGAGGCCCAGCTTGTTTTTTTTTTGGGGGGGGGGGGTCACACATGGCGGTGTTCAGGGCTTACTCCTAGCTCTGCATTCAGGGATCACTCCTGGCAGGCTTGGGGAATCATACAGTGCCCTGGGACTTAAACCTGGGTTGGCTACATGCAAGGCAAGTGCCCTACCTATGGTATTATCGCTCTAGCCCCTCAGAGGCCAAACTTGACTTGAACCTTCTGCCTTTTAAGTTCATGCTATTAACACCATCCTAAGTTACATTACATAGAAATGAAATTTTTAAAAAAATGAATAAATTCTATACTCTAAAACAAACAAACAAAAAAAGGTCTACCTTCATAAGCCAGAAAGAAAAGTATCTATGAAAAACTTAGGATTTCATAGTGGTAAGTAGGGTCTGTTGTCATGCTACCTGTATGTGAGAAAGTCTTTAGGAAAGAATGTGATTGCTAACACAAATAACATATGCAAATTAAAGTCAATGGAATAGCTATATAGTGACTGAACACAGCTTAAGATCACAGTAATATACTAGAAAAACCACCTGAGAATCTGAGAGAATGGTATACAAAGTTGTGGCATGAATGAAATAAAAGGTATTTTTGGAAAACTAGATCCAAAAGTTCCAGTCTATGTCATAAGGGCTTTTAGAATCAGAAAATAAAGAGAATTGACAAAGGGCAATAATTAATCAGTAATTAAAAAATATATAGAAAAGACATGAGTACTCAGACTGAACACCATAAAAAATGACCATAACATTTTTTTAAAGCCCACTGTTAATCAAGTTACAAAGTAACGCTTTAGATCCCTATTTTTCAACCTGTGGTCTCATGGTCTGGTGCTGGTCCTTAAAAGTTTCCTGAAGTCTGCCAAAATTTTTCTCCCCATTACAGCAGCAGCAGAAGTTGCACTAGCTGACAATCACAATTTTATAACATTACATTTCATAAATAAAATTTATCTACACTGGGTTTTATTTCTGTGTTATCTGTCAGTCTAAGAAATCTTGCTATTTTCCCTGGTCCTCAGGAGTAAAAGAGGTTAAAGAATGCTATCTTGTAATTAAAGATGAAAAGAAACTCTGGAGTGAAAAAAACAGCTTAACTACAGAAAGACAAAAACTAATCAGCAACCTCAAATGCTAAATAAGATGAAATTATATCTTCAATGTTGATGGTACTGTGAAAGAATTACTCGGACCCTCAGTTTTACTTCCGCTATTTTTCTTTTCTTTTTGCAGGCTACTGTTGGATTGAGTTTTTCTTTTTCTTTTTGGTTTTTGGGTCACACCCAGCAGTGCTTAAGTCTTACTCCTGGCTATGCACTCAGGGATCACTCCTGGAGGAACTTGGGGAACCATATGTTGTGCCAGGGATTGAAACAAGGTCGGTTACAAGACAAGCACCTTATCTGTTATACTGACTCCCTGGACCCAAGATTAAGGGCTTTTTAAATGACTGTTTTGGGTGGTGTTAAGACATACAAACATCTTGAACTTATCTATTAAGTTCAGATTTCCTGACACAATTTTTTAAATACCACTATACACTACCATAAGAAATGCACTAAAAACTTTTAAAAAATGAAAGGACAATGCTGAAGGCGTGGAGTAACAAGTGACATAACCCCCCCCCCCCAAACATACACACACATACACACACACACACACGGGGGTAGAGCTGGGGGAATCAATATATACTGTAGCACTGTAGAACTGTCATCCCGTTGTTCATCAATTTATTCAAGCGGGCACCAGTAACGTCTCCACTGTGAGTCTTGTTACTGGTTACTGTGTTTGGCGTATCAAATACATCATGGGTACCTTGCCAGGCTTTGCCGTGTGGGCAGAATACTATCGGTAGCTTGCCGGGTTCTCCGAGAGGGGAGGTAGAATTAAACCTGGGTCAGCCTCGTGCAAGGCAAACGCCCTATCCACTATGCTATCGCTCCAGCCCAAAATATACAAATAAATTTTATTTTATTTTATTTAATGTTTAGGCCACACCCAGTGATGCTTGGTGTCACCACGCCGCCCACATGAAGAGCACATGCTCCTTTATATAGATATATTTTTTCCACATTTTAAAGCACTGTGGGTAGGGCATTTGCCTTGCATGCAGCCGACCCGGCTGAACACAGTTCAATTCCTCTGCCCCTCTCGGAGAGCCTGGCAAGCTACTGAGAGTATCCTGCCCACACAACAAAGCCTGGCAAGCTACCCATGACGTATTCGATATGCCAAACCAGTAACAACAAGTCTCACAATGGAGACGTCACTAGGCTTGCTCGAGCAATTCGATGAACAACGGGAGGACAGTGCTACAGTGCTATTTTTTAATGAATCACCATGAGATACAGCTCACCAAGAATACTTCATCTGGCTAAACTCTCACTCAAACACATGCTCCTTTGAGCTCTCTCCCCAACCCACTGGAGATTTTTAATGGACAAAACAATTCAAATTAGACTTCCTGAGTCCACAGTGCCTTAACTGCCTACTGCTCAAAGATACTGCACATGCCAAAGTAGCACTTATTTGAATATGTATTCTGTAACCCCTCAAAACAAGACAGTAGAAGGAAAAAACAATTACAAAACACAATAATCTATAGTGGTAGAATAAAAATACAGCTTTCAAATGAGAGAAGAACAAAATAAACAGACAAAAAAATTTTAACGGAGTCCATAAAAGATATACTTAAAACCAAATATATTTTTGTGAATGAAAAATTATGATATTTTTATTTATTTATTTAATTTTTATTAGTGAAACACCATGAGGTACAGTTGTAGACTTACAAATTTTTGTGCTTGGATTTCAATTATACAATGATCAAGTACTCATCCCTCCACCAGTGCCCATTTTCCACCAGCACGGAACCCAGTATCCCTCCCACCCCCCATGCCCTCCATCCCACCCTGCCTCTGTGGCAGGGCATTCCCTTTTGTTCTCTCTCTCCTTTTGGGTGCTGTGGTTTCCAAAAGAGGCATTGAGTGGCAATCATGTTCGGTCTATAGTCTACTTTCAGCATGCATCTCCCATCCTGGGAGGATCCTCTCAACACCCTTTATTTGGTGCTCCCTTCTCTAGCTGAGCTGCCCTTTCTCCCAGCATATGTGGCTGACTCCAAGCCATGGAGTAAACCTCCTGGTACTTATCTTGGCTATTCTTGGGTGTTAGCCTCCTATTTTGTTACTTTATGTTCCCCAGATGAATGCATCTTTCTATGTCTGTCCCTCTCTATCTGACTCATTTTGCTTAGCATGATACTTTCCATGTAGTACCACTTGTATGTAAATTTCATGACTTCATCTTTTCTAACAGTTACATAGTACTCCATTGTGTAGATGTACCAAAGTTTCTTTAACCAGTCATCTGTTCTCAGGCACTCAGGTTTTTTCCAGATTCTGGCTATTGTAAACAGTGCTGCAATGAACAAACAAGTGCAGATAAAACCAAATATATTTTAAATTTACATTAACTGTAAATTTACTTGATTTCCACATTCAGGATTATATTTTTCAGAAATATGTCATTTTATTATAATTGGAATCAAAGTGTGGGAAACAAGAGGAAAAAGAGTAATGGTCTTCAAGGAAGATAGGTACATATCTATTTCACATTAAAAATGAAAAGTGATTGCTTTCTATTTATTTTCTGGCCCCCTTCAAAGACCAACTCTTCACATGGGGTCAGAAAAACAGTTCTTGAGCTAAAGTACATATCTTGAATGCAGCTGACCCCGTTCAATCCCTAATACTACATGGTTTACTGAGTGTGGCAGGGTAGTAGCCTGTAAACTCTCAAGCATCACCAGGTATGGCCAGGTATGCCCCAAGCACCATTAGGGTGGTCTGGGTAATCCTGTCACTGCAGGCCCTGAGTAGCACCGCATCCTTGGGTCCTTACTTTGAGCTCCAGCCCAGTTAGCAGAGAATTTCCAAATGAAGCCCCCAGTCTCCTGAGCACTGCTTGAAAGATAACCCTCTGCCCCTGCAGAACCCACACACACACAAACAAAAACTAAAAATAAATAAATAAACCCTTTATCTGAGTTCGACTTATCAACATCAACCTAACTGAACCTCTCAATCACTAAGGCCAATCTCCCTGTCCTCTGATCCTTCTCACCCACATTCTGTCCTTGCAGCCTCCTGCCACAGACCTTAACCAACATTTGCATATGTGGGCCAAGGGATCAGACCAGGTCTTCCACATGCAAGGCATATGTGTGCATCCTTCCACCATGTCCCAATCCTCAGCCTCTCAACCTGGTTCACGTAAATGACTGTGCTCTTCCTTGCAATCAATCTCATTCTCTCGATTTAACCTACCTTTGTTCTCTTTTCTTTGTTTCTGTCTTCTGGAACTCTCCTGTTACTGTAATTTCCTTCACTCTTTCTCCTCAGTTGAATGACTAGCACTATCATTTAACCACTCCTTAAATTCAAAACCTAGAGTGACCTATAATTTATTCTTATTTTTATATTACAAATATATTAACCATAAAAAAACTATTAAGTTACTGCTAAATTTTTTTCCTGGAATAGATTCTTTTCTTCCTTTCTTTCTTTCTCTCCTTTCTTTCTTTCTCTTTTTTTTCTTTCAGTTTTTGGGTCAGACATGGTGATACTCAGGGGTTACTCTTGGCTCTGCACTGAGAAACTACTCCTTGCAATGCTCGGGGAGCCATGTAGGGATGCTGGGGATTGAATCCAGGTCAGGGTACATGCAAGGCAAGCGCCTTACCTGCTATGCTATCTCTCCAGTCTATGGAATAGATTCATTTTGTTCTTCATTGCAAATGTCTTTGTTCCAGCTATGTTATTGTTCATCTACACTACCACCAAAATGTACTTACAGTTCTCATCTCTAATTTAAAGTATCTCTCTTCCCTCTGATCTTGTTTTCTCACTCTCCCCAACCCCTTGCATCCTGTAATCCACTGCTAGAATTATCACTAAAATTGAAATCTGAGCATAATACTCCTTTTCTGTTAAAGAATTTAATTTTGCCTACTGCTTAGATAATACTTTACTCAATCATAAAGTCTGAACTCAAAGACTGATATATCTGACAATGGGACTTAAGTAAAATAACTTATATTTAAAAAAAAAACCAACAAAGGTTGATACAGCTGATACTCATTTCCCAAGTCTAAACGATATGCCCCTCCTTGAATTTAGAAATGTTTTGTGCAAATTATAACACTGCATTTTGTTGGGTATTATTATAAGTTTTGGCTCTTTTTTTATTTAGTTTTTTGTGTTTTTGCATTGTCAAGGATTGAACCCAGAACTTCAGGCATGCAAGGCTTGAATTTTACCACTGAGCCACATGTTCAGTCCCTATCTGGGTACATCTTTCTACTAGATATCTTTAAATTTCAATTATGCTTTAAGATTTTTAAGAATCAGGTTATTGGATCTAATACATGACAAACACATAACAAATATTCAATTATTTTTCCAATATGCATAAGTCATACCACTTCTTAAAGTCTATAAATTTCATCTTAAAGAGAAAAGTAGGGGATGCTTAATAAAAAAGAAACTGTTCTAGTCTCATAGAAACTATATATTCTTGCTAAATGTATTACTTAAATATTAAATATTTAACAGCTGCTATCTTTAAGGATAACTAGAGCTGTTATATCCCTTAAATAATTAAAATTAACAAAGGGCAAGAGAGGAGGGCTGGGGAGATAGTACAGTGATAGGGTGATTGCCTTATGTGCAGTCAACCCGGATTTGATCCCTGGCATCCCATATGGTCCCCCCAGCTCGCCAAGAGGTTCCTGAGTACAGAGCCAGGAGTAACCCCTGAGTACCGCTAGGTGTGGGGCCTTTTTTCCCACCAAAAATATAAAGGACAAGGGAGATGACTCAAAAGGCTGGAGGACCTGATTTGTGTGCAGGGTCCTGGGTTTGGTTCCTAGCAATACATGGTCCCCCAAGGGTCCCCCAAGTACTAACAGGGGTGAGTCCTGAGTACCATCCTGAGAACAGCCCCTGAACACTGCCAGATCTGACCACTCCTTCTCCCCAAATTAATTAAGGAAATTTAAGTCTTTACTATTTTTACTTTCTCACAAATATTACAAAGGTCCCTCCCAGGACAGGAGAAGCATGCTGAAAGTAGACTATAGACCAAACATGATTGCCACTCAGTGCCTCTTTTGCGGACCACAACGCCCAAAAGGAGAGAGAGAACAAAAGGGAATGCCCTGACACAGAGGCAGGGTGGGATGGGGGGATAGGGGGTGGGAGGGATACTGGGATCCGTGGTGGTGAAAAATGGGCACTGGTGGAGGGTGGGTACTTGATCATTGTATAACTGAAACCCAAACACAAAAATTTGTAAATCTACAACTGTACCTCATGATGTTTCACTAATAAAAATTTTAAAATATATATATTACAAAGGTTTAATAATGAAATATATATAGTTTGGATAAAACCGCAAATACCAGATGTGTGCTATAAAAACTGTCTACTAAAAAAAACTAGCCAGGGTTTTTATAAAATACTTAGCTTAAATCTGACAGTAACTGTAAAATCATCTTACATCATTGCAAAATCAGAGATGGTGGAATAGTACCTCTAATAGACATATAAAACCTCAGACAAATGACTAAGCTCTTGGTTTCTTCATCTATAAAGAAGTAATTTAAAGGAAAAAGAAAGGCCACAAGGCATATCTGTAAAAAGAATACCCATGAAAGATAAGTTTATTTATGATGAAAAATAATTTCACCAAGAATTATGAAATTATTGGTTTATTGTTAACATGTTGATGCAAGCACATACCTCTAGAAGCTTACACCTGGATGTGGCTTAATTAGCACAAATTGTAGCACCTGCATTAATGTGTGAAGGGGCTCACATATGGGATAAACTAACATGAAGTGAAATACTTCCTTCTAATTCCCAAAAATGGAGCTGGAGAGATAGCACCGTGTACAGGGTGCTTTCCTTATACATGCCACCAGGTTCAATTCCTGACACCACATATGGATCCCTATAGGAGTGATCCCTGAGCACAATACCAGAAGTAAGCCCTGAGAACAGGTAGGTATGGTGCAAAACCAAAACAAAACTAAATCCCAAAAACTACAGTACAGCATGTTTTGTGGGAGAAGGTTAAGGTTACTGAAAATGCTTTAGTGAGTAAGAAGGAAGAGAACTTAATTCTTTACATTTCATGATTAGTTCCTTGTGCTCGTTACTGTTATTTTAAAGAATAAGAAAGAGCCCAAAAAGCTCATACATCAGTTGGTGGGGAAAAAGCTCAGACTACTTAGTATACTGAGTACCACAGTCTCCTAATCAGGATATACAAATACACAGACACATGTCAAACTTCAATCATAGTTCTTACTTTAATCTTGACAGCATCATAACGGATTTGTGAAAACTCACGAAGACCAAAAGAACCACCAATAATCAGCAACTGAAACAGAGAAAGAAAATAATTTAAACAATACAGGAGGGTCTGGAGGAATACAGCAGGGGCTTTCTGCATCTTGCTTATTTACAGTTAGTCGTGAGTTCAAACCCCTGGTGTCCCACATGTGCTGAGCACAATCCTGACAGCTCTGTGATTTGAGCCTCGCTGCTCTGTTGCTTGTAATCCCCATTGCTGCAAGTCATTTCCAGCCGCACTGCAGCGACATGTGCCAATGTGCCACAAAAAAAGGGATGAGAAACACAGCGAGCATCACAGCTACAGAAATGTGCAAGGGCTAATACCAGGAAGTGAGACTCTAGCAAGCAAATGTGTGAGCACTGCTGCAAGCCTGGCGAACACCCTGTCACTTAGGTTATGAGAATTAATTAAGCACACAAATCCTGGTGAGCACATACGTGAGTGTCACAAGCAGAGCAGTACAAACCTTGGGGAGCACTATGACCATGTATGCAAGCAATGTGACCTGCTGTGCACCCCCCTGCTGAATGCCACAGCTGGAAATACATGTGAGCACCAGTCAGGTGTATGAGATGACAATCTCTGTATTCTAAACAACAAACAATGAAAACTGGGGCAGGGTGAGCATTCGTCATATATGAGGCAGACTGGGGTTCGATTCCCTGGCACCCCCACTGGGCCCAGCCACCCTCAATGATCCCTGAGCACAGAGTCAGGAGTAATCCCAGAGCAACACTGGTGTGGCCTCCCGCCGAAAAAACTAAACAAGGAAACAATGATAGTAGGGCATAGGGAAGAGGAAAAAGGAATAAAAAAGTTAAATAATAGGAAGACAGAACTCAGCCTATAGATTATCTAAATGCCAATGGTAATAAATTACACAAAATTTTACAGAATACTCTTCCTGATAATCGCTATCCACCTATTCAAATTACACTGGGCACAGTGAAGAATAGAATTCAGGACTTGTTTCTTCAAAACTAGAATTCTTTCAGTTTTATCATATTGCAAAACAAGCCAATTTGCCCCATTTCTCCGCCATCAAAGTACCCAATACTCTGAACCACTGTCCTTGTGTTACTCTAGACCACCTCTTCTTCCCCATCCCTTTCCCCCTTACAGTTTGGTGATCTTGTGATTTGGTGATCTCTTCTCAGTTTTATAATCAAAAGTTTGTCATCTTTCAATATTGTCTATTCCCTTGTTTTATTTGTCTCTACACCATAGATGAACCTGGTCATCTCATTTTTCTCATATGTATGATTTCATAAATATGTGCGTATGATATATACACATATGAATATATGTACATATATGTGGTATACACATGCATATACACACGGTATTCGTATTACATATACATATGATGTGCACATATGTAGATGCGATATATGAGAAATATATGATTTCGCATCATATCATCTTTTAATTTGCTTTTAATTTCTCCAGTTCATTCAAAATTTCAGGAAATTGCAGGATTTACTCTTTTCTTACAACTCTGTAATAATTTTTTATTCATTTGGGTTGTTTTCATATCCTGGCTATTTTGCTCAGTACTACAATCCTGGGAAAACTGGGTCAGTTCACAAACTAGGAAGGTGAAACAACGAGAATTTCCAGTTAAATCAATAACTATATCTAGTTCCATCGACATTCAGTCGGTCCCGTCAAGCTGTGGCAGACTGTGCAAGAGAGCGGGGGAAGTGCGAGTAATCTTAGGAATCACCTAGACGTGGGCCATCAAATACTGAAACAATTTCCTGGTAATTACCAGGAAAGGTAAGAAGGAACTGGGCATCCCGTTTGGGGAAATCAATTCAGTACCAAGAGGAAGAGACAACTAGAATGTCAAACGGTACACACCATCCGGCGGGCGCCCAGCCAATTTCCACGCCCCGCCCCTGCCCCGCCCCCGTGGGTATCACCCCTCCCCCCGGTGAAACCCCGCCCCCTCAGCGACGCCCCCGGGAACCCGGGAACCCCCGCCTCTCGGGGAGGCCCCGCCCCCTCACCGACACCACTCGGCGGACGCCCTGCCCCTTAAGGAGCCCCGCCCCCTGGGCACCACCCCCTTCGGTGAGGCCCCGCCCCTTGACCACCACCACTCGGCGGAACGCCCAGCCTCTTGCGGAGCTCCGCCCCTCCGTGAAGCCCCGCCCCCTCACCGCCACCTCCCGGAGCACGCCCCGCCCGCTGGGCACCACGCCCCTCGGTGAGGCCCCGCCCCCTCGTCCCTTCAGCGCACTCACAAACATAGGGACTCCGTAGCGAAGGGTCTTGTTCTTGCGCAGGGCGCGCACCAAGGAGTGCGCAGACATGACTCTTCCACGCGACCGGTCGCTCAGTCGCAGAGGTCCAGCGCGGCCGCCAGGATCTCAGCTGCTCCTGCGCCGTGGCCCGTAAGGACGTCCTAAACTCACCTGCTTCGCTTAGCGGAGCGAACTGGGAACTGTCCTGCCGGATAGGCCTCCGCCAGGCCAGAGCAATCGATCCGTCGTCACCGAGCGGCGTGTCCGTCTGGAAATTCAAATGTCAACGATTTGGTTCCGGCACCCCGGAGTGGAATTAAGGTTTCGGTGCTTTAGCCGCGTTTCTACTCTCCGCAAATTATGTTAAAAATTAGGGCCTCCCCACGTTCTGAATCTTAGCCAGCGTTTTCTTAGAACACTTTGCCACTGTTTAATACAAGTCCATTAAGAATTTTTTTTAATTAAACAATGATTTTTTTAAAAGTTTGCTAAGAAAGCCGGAGCGATAGTACAGCAGGTAGGGCGTTTGCCTTGCATGCGGCCGACGCGGGTTCGATCTCGGGCATCCCGTATGGTTCCCCCCACCCCCGCCAGGAGTAATTCCTGGGTGCAGAGTCAGGAGTAACCCCTGAGCATCGCCGGGTCACACAACCCCTGAGCATCCCCGGATGAGCATCGCGGAGTGTGACCCGGCGATGCTCAGGGGTTATTCCTGGCTTTGCACTAAGGAATCACTCCTGGCGGTGCTCAGGGGACCATACGGGATGCTGGGAATCGGACCAGGTCGGCCGCGTGCAAGGCAAACGTCCTGCCCGCAGTGCTATTGCTCCAGCCCTTGCGGACCCAGCTTAGATCCTCCGCATCCCTTTTGGTCCCTCGAGCCCGGTCAAGAGAGACCCCTGAGCGCAGAGCCAGGGATAACCCCTGAGTACCTCTGGGTGCAGCGAAAATCAAATAAATAAATAAATAAATAAATAAACCTACTTGAGAACTAGTTTTCTCTATGGCTATTGGTGGGATGGGAAAATTTACCGGTTTAATTTGAAATGTATCTGTTAGGGAGTTAGGGTTGGTGTTGTGAGGGAACCCAGGACATTGATGGAGGGAAGCTGACACCGGTGGTGGAATTGGTGCTGGAACTTGTATACCTGAAACTACTATAAATAACCTTGAAAATTACCTTGTCAAAAACAAAATATTTTTAGAAATATTAGGTGAACTATTTCTACCCACAAAATGTTAGGTAGAATAGTGGTCAATGTAGTGTCTTGCTAACACGGAGTCTTTTAAATACTAACACTGCTGGAAAACCTGCAGTGTTCTTTCCAGTGTAAATGTCTATCTCCCGGAGTAAACAAAGTCCCAGCACATATTTTTGTGAGTCTTTAGAACTCTGAAGGAACAGAGATGAAAAGGTGTGGTCGTTTATTACAACCAAATGGGCACATGCAGCCAAATGGGTACAGGAATATGTGTGTAATGTGTGTACTAGTTTGGGAAACAGTTGCCACAGACGCCATTTCCTAGGATCAGAGAAAGCCACATTACCAAGTATTGTTTCAGAAGACAGATTGGTGTAGAGTAAGAGACATAAACACAGGTGCAACATTTTCCATACTTCCTCTCTAGTCCCCCTAAATATTCCTACCTGAATCTGTTATCTTTCTACCTACTAAAGTAGCCTCTAAAACTAACCATTTTTTTTTCTTTTTGGGTCACAACCGGCTATGCACAGGTGTTACTCCTGGCTCTGCACTCAGGAATTACTCCTGGTGATGCTCAGGGGACCATAGGATGCTCGGAATAGAACCCGGGTTGGCCGCGTGCAAGGCAAACACCCTACCTGCTGTGCTATTGTTGCTTCAGCTCCAATTAACCATTTTTCTTGGGAGAAACTTTAAACAATAACAACACTAATATCTACCTAACTACCTAACTACTATAAAATGTGAAGGAAAAAAATTCCACAAAACCAAACAACATTAATTTTGGTTCTCAAGTCTATAGCACAGCGGGTAGGGCGTTCGCCTTACACGCGGCCAACATGGCCGACCCGAGTTCGATTCCTCCGCCCCTCTCGGAGAGCCCGGCAAGCTACCGAGAGTATTCGATATGCCAGACACAGTAACAACAAAGTCTCCAATGGAGACGTTACTGGGCCCGCTCGAGCAAATCGACGATCAACGGGAGGGCCTTTACTTACTTACTTACTTACTCAAGTCTATCGTCTATACTGCCGAAAGTTATCTGAGACAACAGAATAAGATTCTACTACTTTTTGCCAAAAGTGGTTATTCCCTTTCTTTCTTTCTTTCTTTCTTTCTTTCTTTCTTTCTTTCTTTCTTTCTTTCTTTCCTTCCTTCCTTTCTTTCTTTCTTCTTTTCTTTCTTTCTTTCTTCTTTTCTTTTTTTATGGACTGGTGGGGAGGGTCATATATCAATAGCTTAGAAGCTCAGATTGGGAGGGGTAACTTCTGGAGCTATTTAAGGGACTGTGTGGTGCTGGGAAGGAGACCCCTGCATCCTGCATGCAAAAAATGCATTATGTAAACCCGCTGAATTAGCACTCTGGCCCCTCCAATTTTCATAGCAAGAAATTTAAGATCCTCTGTGATATGCCTGTCCTGCCTTTCTGCCACTGTACCTTTCAGCTTATACTTCATCCTGGAGATTTTGTCCCCTAAGTATTTCAGAAACTTCCACTATAATAATCCCTCTAAGGTCACTTAAAGCATGCAAGTTTATAAAGTGAAAGTTAATACCCCAAGTAACTAGGCTTGATATATTTAGCAATGAAGTTAGTGTTTCAGAACTCCAATAGCTTGATAAAATGACCATGGCATGAAAAAGATTAGTTCTTCACGAATCTCTGGTTTTATAATTGATATATCTGGTTTGGTTCACCCCAAAACCTTATAAAATTTGGAAAGAGCATGACTCCAGATTCATTACAAAGGTAAAGCGGTGTAAATGGGCCCTGTCGAGAACTGAACTTCCTGTAGCATTTGGTAACATTCAAGTTTCCTCCTCCTGTGACTTTATGAATGTCTGAAGCCCCTGGATCCTCTTCAACTTTGAGATTTTCTGTCCTCAATCCTGTAAATCTTAAATTGTGTAACATTTTCCCATTTTTTCACTCCTCCGGTGATTCTGAAGCTGTGGTCCATACACAATAACCTGACAATCTTAGCAAAAGATTATTGGGTCTTAAATGCTAAAGTTTCTTTCTGCTTTAGTAGGTCTGACACAAGGCCTGAAAAATGCCTTTTCTAATAAATTCCATGTAATGCTGCTGGTGTTATAAACTGAGAAAATCACTGTCCTATCTAAACTCAGCTTTCACCTTGGAGTCAAGATTTATCACAGTGCAGAGTAAGTACTTCCTTCTGTTCCACATAATACCTATGACTAGAATTAGATTGGTTAAGAACTGGCCCCCCAAGTTCCAGTTCAGTGTAATTTGAAATCAGTTAAAATTAAGGTCTTGTCTTTATGTTGGTACATTTACACAATGGAATACTATGCAGCTTTAGAAAAGATTAAATGACATTTGCATATAAGTGGATCGATATGGAGAGTACCATGCTAAGTGAAATGAATCAGAGAGTGAGGGAGACATGGAATGACTGCACTCATTTGTTGAATATAAAGTAAAAAAATGGGAGAATAACACCCAAGGATAGTAGAGATAAGGGTCAGGAGGATTGCTCCATGGCTTGGAAGCCGGCCTCACATGCTGGGGAAAAAGGCAGCTGGGATAGAGAAGGGACTACTAAGTAAATGATGCTTGGAGGGCTTGCTCAGAATGGGAGATGTGTGCTGAAAGTAGATTATGGACCAAATATGATGGCCACTTAGTACCTGTATTGCAAACCGTAACACCCAAAAGGAGAGAAAGAGGAAATGTGCCTGACACAGAAGTGAGGGAGGCGGAGAGGTGAGGTGGGGGTGGCAGTGGAGAATGGGCACTGGTGGAGGGATGGGTACTTGAGCATTGTATGACTGTAACGTAATCACGAAGTTTGTAAGTCTGTAGCTGTACCTCACATTATTTATTAAAAAATAGATAAATAAATCCCTTTGCAAAAAAAAAGTTTTTGTCTTTATTCAGATAAGGAATCAACGGTTTCTCTGTTAGTACTATTTCTTTCCTGACAATTATATTCACTAATATCCTGGTTGTAGAACCATTCCTATATTTGTCTTATTTTTATGATGTATAAGCTATAGAATGAGTGAAAAGAATATATTTGTCTTCCATCTTCCATAAGTTCCATGCCTTAAAGCACAATCTAGAACTTAACAAATGAAAAGGCAATTAAAAAACTCTTGGTGGTGAAAAATGAGTACTGGTGAAGGGAAAGGTGTTTGATCATTGTATGACCGAGACTTAAACCTGAAAGCTTAGTGACTTTTCCCACAGTGATTCAATAAATAAATATAAAAAGAAAGATAAATAAATAAAAATTAAGGTGGAGTTCATGCCCAATTCAATCAGCTAATCAGTGGCTGAATAAATAGCAGTACTCCTACCAAAAAAAAAAAACTGATAAGAATCTCCCACATCATGCTAGATAGTGAAGAGTCCCTCATTCCAGGGATTATTAATTCCCTGGAACTCTATGGAGAGAAACCAGAGGTAACTTTTACACAGAAGTGCCAAAGATCTCTTTTGTACAGATTCACGATCACAATCATCCTGTTGTTTGTTGATTGCCTCGAGCAGGCCCCAGTAACGTCTCCTTCATCCTAGCCCTGAGATTTTAAAGTGCTATATTCATGGCTCTTTCAGGGTTAGGAGAATGAGACCCATCATTGTTACCGGTATTTGGCATAGTAGGTACACCATGGGGAGTTTGCCAGACTCTGCCATGTGTAGAGATTAATACTCAGAATTCATAGTTAAATTATCTTAAAGTACATAATTTTTTAAAAGACAACAAATTTCATTAGATCAAATACATATTAATAGAGAAAATTTTAGTAGAGCGAATAAACATCTTCTAGTTGGCATGGGAGTAAAGCATGTATGTAAAATTTTTAAGTAGTTAACTAGGTTTTCCTTTATCAGGTAGATGAGTATGTGCTATTATGATATGTCAATAGTGAAACAGCATTTTACCTATTTGAATGTGTTACAAAAAAAAACCCTCTGTAGTACTATATATGTAGTATACTCTGTAGTACTATATATGTAGTACTATGTAGTACTCAGTGTAGCCTTGCAAGTGACTGA